AAACACCTGAGTGAGCATCACTCTCTGAGGAGTGTGCAGACGTGCACCGCACACCAGCACAGCCAGTCCAGGCTTCAGTGATGGCCTCCCTGGGCACTTTGTACCAGTCATCCTTCTTCAGATAATCTCAGGGCACTGGCTGTCCTATTGGTATCTGAGGACCTGAGGAGTCATCTACTGCTGGATAGAGAGTGGGGTTTACCTATTTTCTTGGAGCTTGTGATTGTGATCCTGTCTGAGACATTCAGGGAGCAAAGGGAAAATCACCCCAGGCTGCTGTCCAAGAGAATGAGACCAACAAAACAGTGCTGAGCAAGTGCCACTCACCTGCGGGGCATGATGATGGCTAGACCTGTCCCTCATAGACATGGGACCAGTAAGGAGAGCACACAGTGGTTCTGACAAAATGGGAGACCTTTGGTTCTGGCAGCAGATTTCTCCAGAGGCAAAGCTTACCGGGTGGAGACACCAAGATGTGTGGTCCATGTCTTTATAGGGCTGCCTACCTGCTATTCCTGTGATCACAGGTGCCTGTTCCCCTGTGCCTCAGGCAGTGGCTAGGACTACCAGATATCCAGGTGGAATCCACATAGGCTCTGAAGGTGTATACAAATTCCATCCTGGGCCACTGAAATTACTGAAGGAAATACCCCAAGGCCACTCTAGCTGGCTGTGAAGTCACTGGCATTCATCATACTGAGATGCCAATAGAGGGCTCCTGGACAGGGTCTGGGGCAGACCCCCAGAGCTGAGAGTTCTGTCCTATAGCCCCTGGATCTGGATTCTAACAGGAGAAGAGCTCAGTCCTGCTGCCACCCTAACTACAGCCTTCTGAGACCCCTGAGCAGAGGACAGATATGTCAGGACTGTGGCCTTGACCCATGGAAACTCTACCTATAGTGTTATGGCAGAATATACTCCCAGAGTTGGCACAAGCACAAGAAACACCTGCTGCGATTTCTGAATATGAGGGTTTTCTTTTGTTTTTTGCTTTTAAATTGAGTTGCCTTCCCAAGATGTAGAAGAATGTATGGAAGAATACGTGGAGAAGACAAACAACTGGCTTCTTTCTTAGTGATATGCTAGATGCACTGGAAAATGTCACTGCAGACGTGGATGAGAGTGAGGCTGGGGTCCCACATGCCATTTCCAGGCACCACCATTCCCCTGACCTGTCCTGGGGATACTGCACGTAGAGGCTTGGGGACCACTTCAGGGCCATACATCCTTTCTGCTTAATACCTTCACTATTCTTTCCTGCAAGCTGATAAGCACGGGTTGTTTGCCTGGCAGATAATACTGACAGCCATGGAATTGAACTTCATGACTGGGCCATTTCAGATTATGCAATATTAAAATGATCTGAAGAAAGTTAACACCTAAGTTCATGTACTAAAGAAGCTGCTTGGTTAAGAGCTAAAGTAACCAGGAAAGGCATTTAGTAACTGGGGAGAAATCCAGAGTGCTGGATTTGCAAAGTCACCCAAATCCTGCAGACATCATGGCAGTGTGCAGAGGAGCCACTAGGCTTGGGTCTGTATCCCTGCCCTGCCAGCACAACTTCTTGACTATCTGATTGTCCAAGTAAGATGCTGGTGACCCATGAACACCTGGACATCCTTAGAAAGGATCATTTCTGTATTTAGCAAACTGCACAGGCTCACAGCACCCTCATCCGTGTGTCTGGAATGCACATCTCGTGGCTGCTGGTGCTAGTCCGTTTGTTTTTGCAGGGCTGGGAATTAAACTCATGGCCTTGTACCTACTAGGTAGCACTCTATAACAGAGCTATACCTCTAGTTTCAGCTGTAGATTGCTTTTGTGCCTACAGTGGTGATGCTAAAGACAACATGGACATAAATGGGGGTAGGATAGGTTGGGAGCCCCCACCTGTGGGATCTTGTTTGGATTTCAGAGGCTCTCAAGGAGCAAGGCCCAGTTTCCAGTGTTCAGGGACCAGTGGGTTGAAGTCAAGGCAAGGTTTGAAAGGCTGCCTCTTTACCTGCTGCTTACCTCTATAAGGCCACTTCCTGTTGAGTGCACATGGAGGATGAGGAGAATGAGGATGTTCAGAGGCACCCACCACCCTGTGTGTTTACAGCTTCACTTCAGTGAGGGCTCATAAGATAGAGTTCTCTGTCACTTGGCATCAGAAAGGTCAAGCCTGCACTGCCATTATCCTCTGGTCTGGCCACCAGGACAGGCCACTTTGATTTAGACACCCTGGTAATGGCCCTGGATGCTTTGTGGAGGCAGAGCTGGTCAACATTCTGAGCCAGGTACTCAGTGCTGCTGGTAGCAGTGGCTGCTGCCCAGAAGCAGTGTGTCTTGCAACCTGAGACTATGTAGTGGCCTGATGTCTTCAATAACCCTGCACACCCTCCATTATCTCTGTATTCTCAATGATCAGGTGCAGGCCTCCTATACACAATACTGTGGTGGGGACATCAGAAACTTACAACTGTGACAGTTTTGACCAGCATTGTCTTGGTTGCTTTTCTCTTGTTACTAAGACAAAATATCCAACACCTAAATTAAGGAAAGAAAGGTTTATTTAGCTCAAAGTTTGTGGAGGTTTCAGTCTATAATCAACTGGTTCCAAGGCAGAGAGACACATCGCAGAGGGCAAAAGTTCATGGCAGTGGAAAATCGCACAAGCCACAAAAGTAAAAAGGGAGGAGCATGGAGAGAAGACTCTGTCTCTTGTATTGTATGTAGGTCACACCCACTTGGGTGTAGCACTGACACCTATAATCCCAGCATTGGACCGTGAGTCATTCACAAACTCTAGGATCCTGCTTTCATGACTGCATGAGGCTTTGGGGGGACATCCAGCCTCAATCCATAACAAATATCCACAATGTGGCACCCCCAGCAACTTTCTCTGGTGACTGACGAGGTTCAGGTTGTTGCCATTTAAGTCTAGGTCATTCTTCCTCCCCTATACTCAGTGACTATGATGTGTCCAACACCCCAGTGGCCCAAGGAGAACTGACATGGTTCTCTGAGACACTGGCAGCCACCTCAGCCTAACATAGCCAGTGGGTTCAGGTGATCTGCCTTCCCCAGTCAACACTAACACTCCTCGGGACAGTGTGGTGGGATCCTGGGGGAGGCTGGGAGGTGGATGAGACAGTATACACTGTTGTCAAGGTAGCAGGGACTTTCCTCAAGGGACTGAACTCTCCCCAACAGGAGGGCTCTGGGCCTGTGATAGAAGCCGTGTTCTAACCAGCTCAGACTTCTGCTCACTAGATCTAGGATGCTTCTGCTCATGTGGATTAAGTCAACTTTGGTAGGTGGCCTGGCAAGTCTATCTCTAGGGAACCCAAGACACTGGTCTGGCCATAGTTCTCCACCAGTTAGACTTTCTGAGTGTGTCTCTTATTCCACTGCCATTACAGAAATCTTTCCTGTCTTGTCTTTGACAATGAAGTGACATTCCTTGGCCCCTCTGGATGAGTCTACCCTTTGAAGCTCTTTTTAGTCAGCTCCACCAGGCACTCCTTCCTACGATGGCTAAAGTCTGACATTGAGCATCTGCCAGCTTTTTCCCCTATAAGCAATCTCCTGGGCCCTTAGTGGGTCAGTCTGGGTACTGCTTCCCCTTATTCCGTGGCATATATCCTAACAAGTGTCTTTTGGGTAGAATATCCTTGCCTGTTTGTGAATTCCATCTCAAAGAGAGGAGGCTGAGCAAGCAACATTAAAGGCTGCTGGTGACAAAAGCCAGCAGCAGAGGGGCTAGTAATACTAAAGGGCCTGGCACCAGAGAAGGACAGAGAGTAAAAAAAAAATAGCTGGAAGCCACCTTCTCCTGAGACCAGAAGGGTTCCCAAGGCTGGTGGATGGCTGCTAGCGCTGAGCAGTAAGGAGAGCTGTTACCATCAAAAGAATAGATAGCACCAGCATTTGAGCAATCCTCCTGCCTTAGCCCTCCAAGTAGCTGGGACTACAGCACATATCACTGCACCTGGTACCTACTGTAACTGAGAGAAGAGCAGCCACAGAGCTCTTTAAGGATGCTGTGCTCCCTCAGCAAGTTCATCCCTCTTCACAGAAGCTAACAGTGTGTCCCTCTGGACCCTCCTACTGTGGGCACATAGGCTTTGAAGGACAATTCTCCAACGTGCCAGTCTCCCAGCTTCTGGATCCCTTCCCTGCCTGCATATCAAGGCCATCAAGCAAATAAAAGATGTGACCACCTTTCGGATTCATGTCTCAGGCAACTCGACACCAACCCAACTGTCAGAGCCCTTTCTAGGCTCCCTGTAGGTCTGTTTCAATTACTGATCCATTTAATACTCCAGCCACCTGGACTCCCCCCCCCACTTTTAAATTTTATTTTGAACAGAAAAAAAAATTCAAAACACAGTAATTAGGGAGCAACAATGGTATACACATTGCATATTGTTATCTTCAAATTAGTTACTCAGAGGCTCCCTTTGTTTCTGCTCCCACATGTGTTCTCTAGATCTCTATGGGTACAAGCTGGAGACACCAGGCCCTCTGGTTGCAGTACAGTGTTCTCAGCATAGCATGTACTTTGTGCCTCCTCCCTGGAGGTGCCAGGGATGAGGTGGTTTCCTGAGTGTGGCACTGCCTTGCAGGGCAGCATGGGGGGAGACTCTGGTTCTTCACCTAGAAAGGGGCCAAACTCAGAAGGGGCTGGGCTCTGCTGGCATTAAGGGTAAAGTGCAGAAGTTTTTGCTTTTCTGGGATGTCTGTAGATCCCACCCACACATTCGGAGTCTTGTTCCTTCCTGATCAATACTAGACGATGCTCACTGGGCTGGCCATGTGCAGGGGACAGTGGAAGCCTGTTCAGAGCTTTTATGCTATTGCCACTTTGTGCACACATGAAGCTGAGCTTTTGTCTTTGGTTACCGTGAAGGGCTTTGCCTGATCAGTGTCTCCGTGTCTCTGCTAGAGTCCCCTGGAGATGGTCCTGCCCTTATCACTTAACCCTCTGCAATAGATAGCTGTGGTATCAACTTGAATGGATTAAGAAATACATAGCATTTATTTTTTAAGTTGTATAATTAATTTTCTTACAAAAAAAGTAATAATAATAAAAAAGAAATACATAAGAAATTAGTGGAGCACAGTTCTGGACAGGCCTGGATGATGGATGACTGATTGGTAAGCCAAACACTGAAGAGGAACGACCAACCCTGGATGTGAGTGATGCCAGCAATAGGCTTGTAGCTTGGACAGAATAAAGAGGAAAAGAAGCAGCCTTCCTTTTTGCTCTTTTGAAAGAGCTCATCTTTGCCTTCATCCCCAGTTCCTGCAGGTTTCCAGCACAGACTCTTCAGCCTTCCAGAGCAGACCCTTTAGCTTCCAACACCCTCGCACCTGACTCTGCAGTGAGCTCCAGGCCTTTGACTTCTGACTGGATCTTTGGCTCTCCAGAATGCAGACAGCCCTTTTGTATCTTTCTACTCCTGACTCTGTAGGCAGCCACTGTAAGCCTACTTGTAAATTCTTTACATATCATGTATATATATAGCACATATAAAAGTGTTTGATATATATAATATATACTTATCTATAAATATAAAACATTTACTATGCATAGTAAATGTGTAATACTAAATGTCCCTGGAGTGAACCCTAACTGATAGACCCTAAGACTGACACTCCTTCCCATCCTGTATCTGGCCTTGCTTTTTTTTTTTTTTTTTTTTTTTTTGGTACCAGGGATTGAACTCACGACCTCATGCTTGCCTAGCAGGCACTTACACTGCTGAGCTAAATCCCCGGCCCATCTGGCCTTGCTTTGAACACCATGAACTCCTGTTTCAACTAGCTTGGCCACCCTGTGTCTGCCCCTTTTCTGCTATACTTTTTTCGGAGTTCAGTGATGTCTTTGCCTACTTCTAGCCTCAGTCATGGATGTCGGGAGTTCCTGCTCATCTCTGGCATAAGGAGCTACCCAGACATCAGCAGAAGGCCAAAGGCCCCAGAACCCACTCAGGAACATTCACTCATTAGCAAGGCCCAGCAGGGGCCCTATCCAGGGGGACCTGCAGGCTCTGACTCTTAAGTAGAGGGACCACTGAGAGAGATTGCACCAGAAAATTTATTATACAATATCCTTAGGCTGGTACCACTGCCAGGCCAAGCCATACCTCTCTATAGGCCACAGATTTCAGATGTCTTGCTGGTCATCAGGGTCACTGTCAGATGGATGCCATAGCTCACAAAAGGAATAGGAAGCCTCATGAAAAAGTGAAGACTCTGGTCCTTGGGCCACACCTGATGGTCCTTAGGGGCCTTTGACTGTGTCCACTTTCTGGGCCAATGCTGGAGTGAGATGCCTACTTCTTGTCTTGAGTCTCTAGAGAAGGGAGAGTGGCTGAGTCACATGCGTTGGTATAGTGACCAGACACTGATGCGCTGATCCTTGGATCCAGCAGCTAGCAAGCCATTGGTGGCAAAGGCCACACAGTGGACAGAAGCACTGTGGAAAGCCAGCACTGCCAGTGGTTTCATGGTCCGCCAGTGAAACACACGGATGCGATGGTCCCAGCCTGCGGTGGCCAGGATCTTGTGGTCTGGCCGGATTGTAACATCAGAGATCCCAGGGTTGGTGAGTTGGTGAGTGCTGCACACCTGCAAGACAGAAGGTGGCATGATGCTCTTGGGTTGAGCCAATAATGTTCAGCCATGGGCACCCTGCCCCACCCTGCAGTGGGTTCCACAAGAAAGCACAGGCTCCCTGGTAGTCACATACTCACTCCCATTCAGTTAACCTCCTCCCCAGGAGCGCTTCTGTTCTCAGCTGACCACTTGGCCATAACCGCAAGGATTCTAGTTCTTCCTCAGCCTGTTCTGACAAACTCCTTCCTTATTAGGACATAGCTCTGGCTTCTTTACTGTGGGGAATACACTGCACCTTCATATCTAGAGAGGCAACAATTCCAGCTTGGCAGCAAAATGGAGTTGACATTCTCTCAGATAAACCTTGGTCAGCACCCACATCTCAGGGAGAATGAGAAATGCAAACCCTACCTTCAGCAACACTAAGCAGTTGAGGAAACTGTGTGATGAGGAGGAGCTAAAGGGCAGCCAAAGTGGGAAGCAACAGGGTGTGGGTAGCAGCTGTGGTTTGAATGTGTTTCCCAGAAGTTTACAGTTGAGAACTTAATCTCCAAAATCACATGCTGATGGCATTTGGAGGTGGGTCCTTGGGAGGTCATTAGGGTTAGATGAGGTCATGAGGATGGAGCCCTTGTGGCAGCATTAGTGGTTTATAAGAAGAGAAAGAGATCTGAGTTAGCATACTTGCTCTGAGACCACAGATGTCCTCTGTCATGTTATGAGGCAGCACTAAGGCTCTCATCAGATGCCAGCTCCATGCTCTTGGACTTTCTAGCCCCCAAAACTGTGACCCACATAAATTTCTATTCTTTATACTATACTCAGTCTCAGGTACTTTGTTATAGCAAGAAAAAATTAACTAAAGCCCAGGAAAAGGGCAAGACAATACCAGAGGTAAAAGGGTTGCACAATGATGCTCCTTCTCAGGCTGTAGAGAAGCTTACTCCTGGCCTGGTTCCGTGAAAGGGCAGTGTGCTGAACAAGATAAGGAATTATGCAGCATTTTTGACCTGCATGGAATTGTCAGGGAGTCATCCTCTCTCTGGGGGCCAAGAGCCCAAGCTCAGGGCTGGTGAACAGGAAGCCTCCTGTCCCAACGTGTACCTCCTGCAGCAAGCAGGGGGTGGGGCAGGAGTCAGAGCTGGCTTTGTGGTCAAATGTCTAAGGCTAGGTATGATTTAGCATATTCCCCTAAAGTTCATGTTTGGAGCTTGATCTTCAGAGTGGTGATGATGATGTGAAACCTTTAGAGATAGGTCTAATAGGGCATCCTTAGGTCAGCTGGAACTGTTTCTTTGAAAAGGACTGTGGGGCCTAAGTCTTTTTGACATCATGTCTGATGATGTAATTTATTCCCTTGGCACTTTCCTGGCATGAGGTGATGCCATTCATTAGGCTTTCACTGGAGTCAAAACCAGTAGGGCTAGCTGATCTTGGACTCTCACTCTCTGAAACTGTGAGGTAACTAAATCTCTCTTCTTCATAAAGTTAACCTGCCTCAGATATTTTGTCATAGTAAATAAAAACTGACTAGTATATAAAATTTTTGGTTACATAGGGCTAACCTATGTGCTATACAGCATTGGCATCTGCCCCTACACCAAGTGAGAAGTACTTTGCTAACACAGTGACACCTAGTGATGGCCATTTCTTCTACCAATTAGTCTTGTATATAGCCTGGCCCTCTTGGGTGTGAGAACCAAGTGTTCTATCAGAATTACTTTTTCCTAAATGCCTCCTAATATACATACCTATTAAAAGAAGTAATATTTATCTCTATAGAAATAACACAAGGGAGGGCCAGGGATTTAGCTCAGTGGCACAAGCAAGTGTGAGTTCGATCCCTGGTACCAACCCCCGCCCCCCGCAAAAAAAAAAAAAAAAAAAAAATGAACACGAAAAACCCACAAGGGGCTGGGGATATGGCTCAGCAGCATAGCATCAGCTTGGCAAGCGCAAGTTCCTGATTTCAAGTCCTAGTACCCAAAACAAAAGTAACACAAGAGCAAAGCAGAAAAGAAACAGAAAAAACAAACAGAAAAAACAAACTGCAACATTCCTCACAACAAAATATGAAAACAAAATAGTCACTAAATGATTTACTCATAAATTAAAACAAAACTAAATGAATTAAGTTACATCTATAAATTATCTCTCTAAAACAGGAACCAAAAGAAACAAAACACTAAGGACAGTGGACCTGGCAGAACTTAGGAAAGAACTAGAAGAAGACAAAAACTTAAAGAAATGAAATGGCTGAGTGTGGTAGTGTGTACTGTAATCCCAGCACTTGGGAGGCTGAGGCAGGAGGATCATTGAGAGTTTGAGACCAGTCAGGGCTACAAAGTGAGCTCAAGGCCAGCCTGAACTACATAGAGAGACCCTGTCTCAAAAGTACCAAAAAAAAAAAAAAAAAAAGATATGCTGTAGTAAAATTCTTAGATCTAATAGCTGATATAGTCTTCTTGGTAACCAGAACAGATCACATTGATCAAGAGGGTATAAAGTACATGCTGTGCTCAGAAAAGTCTAGGCTTCATCTGTGCCAGCAAACCAGAGTAATGCTCACACAGGCTAAGAAGGTATATGTGGACCAAGAATTTTATATCTAGCCAAAATGTCACTCAATTGTAAAGATAATATACAGACATTTTGAGCATGTAAGAACTCAAAGGATATTGCTACCAAAAGCTCTTCTGGAAGGACAAGAAGATTAATTTCAGTGTTGTAAGAGATAACTGGAGAACTACAGCAAATGGTCTGGCAGAAAGCACTGAATCTGCTCAGCAGCAGGATTAGGTCTGAAATTCATGGGGATTATGGCTAGAGAACCGGTTATGTAACTAACAGAGAAAGAATAATGAGAGAAATGTGATGTTGGTTAAATTCACTTGACTTGCTCCTTTTTTGTCATTTGGGGGCCAAAGATACAAGTAGTCAACCTCACACTTGACAGTGTATCTGCCACCTACTATAAGTAATGACAAAATCAGCATTATTTTCTTTTCCTCTCCCACTTGACAAGGACCTAACTAGTGTCCTGTATCTGTCCTGTATACTTTATAAAGCATACAATTATAAACACATTCGACAGTTTTATTATTGGATCTCAATGCTAAATCTAGATCTGAGCTATTAAGACACTCCAGAAGGACTCCTGGCAGACATACTAAGAGACGCAAACAAGAAAGAGCAGGCCATCTTCACAGGAAAAATTGAATTTACAGCCAAAAGCACTATAGACCACTATGACACTTCATGGTGATAAAGAGCACTATTCAGCAAGTGCCATGAGTATCTGTGTGGCAAATAAGCAGATTTATCCTTCATAAAGCAAGAATAATAGGAAAGTGGCTATGATAATAGAATAACTAGCACCACACTAGTGATTATCTATAAACAACAATCATTGGACTGCAAGCAGAGGAGACTGCTGATTATGTGAACCTCCCAGTTCTCTGTCCTGGAGACAATTCCCTGGACACAAATCCAGGCAGAACATAGTAGTCATGTTAAGCAGAGAAGGCAAATAACAGAATTTGGGTAGCTAGACTGATAAAATCTGTGACGATAAGGTGAAGCAAAGGAGGGAAATGGGGAACTCAGGGGTACAGGACAATATGTGGGGTTCCTGATGAGTCTTTGTTTGAAAAGTAGGTTGCATAAGCCCAGAGCAAACTGCACAGGGCTTAGCAGAGCGTGTTACTACAGGGTCAAATGGACAGGCAAGCAAGGTCAACTAAGAGCAGCTAAGATGCCATAATGGTGTGGGGTCAGTAAGGAGTCTACTATGGAGTAAGGTCTTCTACAGAGGTACTAGGACACGGCTAGAAACCATGCCTCAGCAAGGTCTGAAAGGAGGCAGCGTATGGGTTCTGTCATAAAGGAGCCCGGGAATGGCTTTCCATCACCTGACCTAACAAAGCACAAACCAAGCCTACAGAAGTCCAAGGTAAACAGCCAGTAACTGAACTTCCTACTAGAAAAAAAGCAACTACCTGAGCTGAGGATGTAGCTGAGGAAGACCTGAGCTGAGAATGTAGCTCATGGCATAGCACTGCCTGGCCAGTGTGACGCTCTGAGTTCAATTTCTAGTATCAAAAAAAAGCAACCACTGTTTAGCACAAGATAACAGACCTCAGAGTTTCCATTATAAATTATTTATACTATCTAGCGTACAAACAAAAAATTACTAGACATGCAAAGAAGTAGAAATATATGATCCATAGGTGGCAGGTTGGGGGGAGCCAACTACTTAATAGAAACTGACCTCAAAATGGCATAGATGTTGAATATACCAGGCTAAAACTTGAAAGAAGCTATTTGCTTGTTAAAACTAAAGGAAAATGCACTCAAATAATTATGAAACAATTTATCTGGATGAATGTGCAGAGAAATAGAAAAAATATTTTCAGTACTGGAAATTGAACCCAGATTATTTACTATTTACACAAAGCTATATCCACAACTCTTTTTCTTTTCTTTCCTTCTTCCTTTTTTTTTTTTTTTAAAAAGACAGGGTCTCACTGAGTTATTAAATTTCCCAGGCTGGACTCTTAACTTGTGATCCTCCTGCCTCAGCCTTTCAGATTGGGATTACAAGCATGTGCCACCATGTCCAGGAAGAAATACAAATTAAAGAACTAAAAATCTCAATAATAGAAATAAAATATTTATAGGACAGGTTTAATAGCTGATGGGGAATTTTTTTTAAACATTGGTGAACTAGAAGACAAATCAATAGAGATTACCTAAACTGAAGAAGAGAGAAAAAAAGATTGAAGGAAAATCAGTAAACAAAGCTTTAGGGACCTATCTATCCTACTGAAGCCATAGGAAGTAGCAAAAGTGAAAATGGTCAAGGAAGCAATATTAGAAGAAATAATGAAAAACTCCCCAACTTTAAGGATCAAGAAAGCTCGGCAAAAACTCAATGAGGTTAAGAAAAAAAATAAATCTAGGAACAAACATGGCAAACTGCTGAAGACCACAGATAAAGAGAGAATCTTGGG